TGGTATGGTATGGTATGGTATGGTATGGTATGGTATGGTATGGTATGTATGTATGTATGTATGTATGTATGTATTTTTTTTTATATTTTATTTTTTGCTAGAGGTGCTTGTTTGTCGCAGGCCTTTGGCCGGTGTCGGCTAAGCTGTGCCTCAGGGTCGTCTCAGGTGGCCTTCGGCAGCTAGAAGAAGTCAACAGCAAAGCCAGGCTCTTCGTCATCAGGCTTGTCTGCATTGAGGCTGGGTGTCATGGCCAAAGCAGACAGACTCTGGGCGAGTTCAGCTTGCTCTTGCTCATCTAGTTCCGTAGGGAAGCTGAGTCTTTGTGGTGTTGGTCTGGAAGCTGAGACTGCCTCCATAGCTGCCGGCTTCTGAGAGGTGTCAGAGCTGTGGCTGCTGGACTGGTCTGGCTTCTTTTTGAAGAAGTCACTGATGGGCGGTGAGCGGTGAGCCCTTGGCGCCAGCTCCTTTACATGGTTTGTGGAGAGCTTGGGTTGCGATGATACGGAGCTCGCCATCCAAGTTCCAGTGTGTGCCACATTGGGTGCACTTCACCTTTTCCCCAGTTTGCCAAAGTGCATGGCTTGGGTGGCCTGTGTGTGCCTGAGTGTAGGCTTGGTTGACACAGGGGCTCTGGATGAAGGTGTTGAAGGCGGCTTCATTGACTCTCTTGTGGATATTGATGCCACATACCAGGCATTTCAGGTATCCCGTGGTTTCTGCAAGCTGGTGCTGACCCGGGTTCGGGTGTTCCGGTTGTTGATCCAGGAGGCTTTTGATCTGTTGAGCTCTGGTTGGCTTCCTGGGGAGAGGTGCTGTTGCTTCTGCTGTAGTGGGACCATCATCAATCAGCATTTGTGGGCAGTCTTCGTTCAGCCGGGCTTCCAGGACTTCTGTCGTGAGACTTTGATGCATCCTGATTCCGCAGCTGCGGCATTGATAGCCGCTTCTTTGATGTGGCTCCCAGTGATGATGATTGCCGTCCCACGGTTTGCGGCAGCGGTTCACCAGCTCCTTTTTGTATTGCTTTGTCTGTTTGCCCTGGTGCCTAGGTGCTTTTTGGTGCACATAGTGCATGTTGTCTGCAAAGATCTTGCTGAGTCTGTTGACTGCATGTTCGTAGATCAGTTTGTGGTCTTGATCCAGGGTCTCTTGCCATTCTTCTTGCTTGGCATCATAGAAGGTTTTTGCCCTTTCCCATGCAGCCAGGGCAGCATCTCGTTGCCTCCTTCTGAGCTGTGGCTCATTTGCTGGTGCATCCGGTGTTCTGGTGTTCTTGCTGATGTAAAGTACCGTGACTCTTTGGAAGTCATGGGGTGGTACTTCAGCAAGGATGTCCATGTACGGGCTGCGGTGCTTTGGGGAGTGCCAAGCTTCCCATACTGTGGCTAGCTGCACAATGACTTTGACGTGGTCGCTGGTGTGGTTGGCGAGTGCAACTAGTCCGGCCAGGAGTGCACGGATCTTAGTTTGGCTGCTTTTGGCCACTCCAGTGAGGGTGCCTAATCGTTTCAGTTGCCCCAGCTCCATGGTGTGAGCACATAGGCCGTAAATCCACATTTGGCTTCGAGTGTCGTATGTGGATGGTGTGGCATCCAGCGTGAAGGCCCAGCCTGTGTGCTGTTGGAGTGGAATGACAGGCAGGCTTGCCCAACAGCCATGGCCTTGAACAGGGTGCGCTGCCGTACGTGCTTCCTGCGGCTCAAGTGGGATCCACCCATGGGCCCATAAGGGTTCTTCCTCTTGGCTGGTGATCCTGTTCATCCATTCCGGCGGCATGGGATCATGGCTTTGGGTTTTGTGCCACTTGCACAACCATAGCACATGTTTTGGTGTTGCAGGGACTCCACATAGTGGGCAGCTTTTGGTCTGGTGTGCATCACGGAAGTGGAGGGCCGCCTGTACCCATGTGTCCAGGTGATGCTGCTGCTGCTGCTGCTTGAGCTGTTTGCGCACTTGGCGGTATGTGTGCCAGTCCAACCCTGTCAGCAGGTTGTTATAGTGCTGTTTGCTGGCCAATCTGGTGGTTCTTTGCCATTGGGCCTCCTGAGTGAGGGTGCGCTCGATTTGCCACCATGGTGCTTGTAGGTGGAGGTCCTGTGCAAGCAGAAGCTTGGTTTCGGGCCGGTTCCAGTGAAGCAGTTCCTGTGGTTGCCATCCCCATTCAAGGAGGTAGACTATGGTGGCCGCCAGTGGCCCACGAACACTGTACCAGGGGTACTGCTTCTCCTGGAGTTGTTGGTATGTCTGGCGCCATGCCTGTTCCAGGGCTTGGATCTGGTCTGGTGGCCAGGCCTGGATGAGGTGGTGGATGGCTTTGATGTGCTGGATCAGGACTTGATCACTGGGATCGATGTATCTTTTGGCATGTATGTCATAAGTGACATCAAGAAGTCCTCCGGTGTGGTGTCCTAGATGTTTGGCCATCCCATTGCGGAGGGCTGCTCTGTACCGTGGAGCCAGGCCTTGACTCTCAACACCCCACAATGCCACCGGTTGTATGCCTCCTCGGTGGAGTCTCAGGCGGACTTTGAGGGCTGGAATCTTCAAGCTGCGCAGCTTGACTTTGCGGGCTGTGGCCTTCCTGATGCGTTGTTTCATGACAGGGATTCTCCGTTTTCGGGCTGCTTGGTGATCGATGCCCAGATCTCGCATGACTGGTGCCACTTGTGGTTCATCGTCCTGCAGCAGAGCTTTGAGTTCTCGCTCTGTGGCTTTGTCGGTGGCAACGAATGCTGTCTTCTTGGGGTTGACTTGAAGGCCCAGGCTTAGAAGTCTTCCATGCAAGTCCCTGTAGGCAGCTACAGCTTCTTGGGGGGTCTGGCGGTGTCAAAGCCAACATCATCCACCCAGCTAGAGAGGTGAATGGTTGGGTGAGTCTGCTGCCAGGGTTGCAGGCCTGGGGGCAGCCTGCCGGCACACCATTGGTGACGGTGAAGAATGGTGTCATTTCCTGTTCTGTCACAATGGCTTTGGGTCCATGGTAAACTTGGAGTGCCATCTCAAGCATGAGAGGAGGGTAGTTCAGCTTGAGAGCCTCTGCCTGGAGTTGTTGCAGATTGATGGTGTCGTAGAAAGTTGACATGTCCATCAAGCAGGTCACTCCGTGTCTTCCGTTGGCTCTGTGGACCTCTTGTCGCAACAGCCTTTCCAATGCCACATATAGCGCATGTGCTCCGGGCCGGGCCTTGTCGTGGTTCATGTCTGCTGGAAGTTGCTTCTGCCACTCATCGAGCAGGGGTTTGCGGAGCCGACGCCAGACCCTGTACAGCAGAGAGGTCAGTGTGATGGGTCGCTCTTTGGCCGCATTCTTGGGAAGCATGACGACCATGTGCATTTGCTGCTGTGTTGGCAACTGTATCTTTTCCTCCATCTCTTGGTAGAGTTTCAGGAGGGCCTTGACAGCTAGAGGTGGCGCTGTTCGTAACAATTGGGCTGTTACGGCATCTGGTCCACAAGCTTTATCAGGCAGGGTGTCGAAGAGCCCAGGTCAGCTGGCTGATGGTGAGCGCCTCCAGCTGTTGAACTTGGTTCCTGGCAAGGCCTTGGAGAATATCCCTTTCTGGTGGCTGGTTGTCTTGGTTGATTTGCCAGAGCTGTCCCCAATCTTTGAGCCTTTGGGTCATTCGTTCATCTGGCGGCAGATTGCGGTATGGTCTCTCCCAAGCCAGCTCACTGCTGCGAAGGCTCCGGAAAAGCCCTTTGAGGCGTTTGGTGTATCCTTGTGTCAGCCATGCTTTGTATTGGAGGTGACTCTCATCATTTGCAGCTTGTTGTGCTAGTTGGAGTTGATGGTGAATGGTGTGGCTGACCAACTTTGCAGCATGGCTGTCTTTGTATCGATGCCAATGATGGCAGGTGTCAAGGAATTGGCCCCAGGTCGGAGTGCCAACCCAATGCTTGGAGGCATCAGCAGTGGCCTGCATGAAGTCTTTGGTGGGTCCACGTACTTGCTGTGGAGGTTGTTTGAGCGCCAGCTGGAACCTGGCTCTCAA